TGAGGAGATATTAACGGAAAATACTGACCAATCAGAGCGCGAGGCGGTCGGTGGAGCGCTCGCGGTAGCGTATAAGCGCGCTCTGATTGGTCGGGGTTTTCTCTTAATATCTCCTCAACGAAGCCTCGTACATTTTCCCTCAGGAAAAAGTTGTTTTAAATCATCCTTCCGAACCACCTCTATCAATGACCTCCGCCATTTTTGGGACACCCTGTATTTCGTTCGACGTTCCATTTACTCGATCGAAATTTCGCCCGTCTCCCGTTTGCGTCCGGATACGCGCATTCCATATTTTTCGAAAATTTTTATCGCCCGCGGGCGCGCACAAACTCGCCTCTAAGATTACAATGAACGTTGATATCGATAAAGCGGTATAGAAGACATCGAGCGAATCGATGGGAGAATTAACGACTACCGCCATGTTTAACAAGAATGTTGGTAACCTGCGAAAGAACTTTAAACTTTCCGCGTTAATAAATAGCCTGACTCGTGCATATCGATAGAAAGTAAGTAAAAACACTCGTTCGTTTCTAATCGAATGTCGCGAGTGGATCTTGGAACAGCCTACAAGCTAGGTAGACAAAGCGTTAACATATTCTTTGTTTTTTTTTTTTTTAGTCGAGCTACGAATCCATTCCATTATTTTGCTGATAATATAAATCGATAGTATTCCCTTGCCTTGGGATTTCTTCGAATCCCTCTCACTTCGTTCACACTCGTCCTTTGTTGCTTTCGTTTTGTAGTAACAATTACTCGTAACTCTCTCCAGCGTGCAAAGATTCACTCCTAGATATCGGACGAGATAAAGACAGACGGCCAGAAAGAATCGCTGATATTAATTTTTGTAACGCTGCCGTGTTTATCGCAATAAAAATCATTCCTTTTAAACGATCGATGCCTCTCGACGGATCCGACGGACAAGAGGACATCGGTGACAGAGTTTAGTATTAAATTCCTCCGTAGACTTCCGAGGCCTTCGTAGACTTTGATAGCGTGATAAAACGGAGGACGTTTATTTGCTTCTAAGGGAAATTCGGAATCGCTGTTGTTCGAAACGACGTTAACTCGTTCGGCGTACGCTTCTCGTTTTCAAACTGAACTTACTGAAACCGGAAGCTACGAGTCGGACCGGATTAACGATCCAGCCATTTTTTGGCGACGAAACGAAGGAATCGTTAGCTTTCGGTACATTACGATACAGGGTGTCCCAAAAATGTCGAAGAAAAACGAAGAGGTCTTTTAAAAGGGTGGTTTGGGTGATTTGAAACAACTTTTTCCTTTGCGAAAATGTTGTCCGAGGCTTCGTTGAGGAGATATTGGAGGAGAAAGCGTCGACCAATCAAAGCGCGAGGCGGCCGCGCTCCCCGACCAATCAGAGCGCGAGTATGCCGGTGGAGCGGCTGAGGTAGCGTACGAGCGCGGTCGCTTAGCGCGTAGCCTACGCCTACCGCGAGCGCTCCACCGGAATCCTCGCGCTCTGATTGGTCCGGAGTTATTCCGTTAATATCTCCTCAACGAAACCTCGGACAACATTTTCCCTCAGGAAAAAGTTGTTTCAAATCACCCTCCAAACCACCCGTTTCAACGACCTTCTTCGTTCTTCTTCAACATTTTTAGGACACTCCATACATTTACAAGTATTACACACACACTCGGTGTAAGAAGTAATTCGTGCAGCAACCAATTTAAAATAACAGCTAATAAGAAAAGAAATAAGACATTAACGTTAAAAGCTATAAACGTTAAGTTACTAAAAATATGTAGATACGTTGATTGTTTCTTGCCCTAAAATTTATTAACAAAATAAATATACGAAGTTTTATATCGAATTGGTTCCTGTACGAATACTCGTTACACCGACTGTAAGTGTTCCATTAAAAACCGTAACGCTCGGAACGAATGCCTGTTCCCTGTATTTTTTTTTAAGCTACTTTTACGAAGCTATCGATTCTTCAGAATTTGTTCATTTGCTAAACATTCTTCATTTCTCGTTCTGCGGACGCATTTCTGTTTTTCATACCGTAAGCGTTAGGAATACACTTGTATATTGTAGGCCATCTTACGAAATAGAAAATATAAATTTATTATAAATAAATAAATATATACATATATATATTTTTACACATATATATATATATATATGTATACACATGTATTTAGATAATTATATATAGACACGGATTAATAGGATAAAATAAAGGAGAAAAGTAAGGAAAAGAGTGAATGTGATGCCCAACGCTCAAAGTAAGGCTGCCGAGTAATCGAGACACTCCACATCGTCGTGATTCTTATATTTTCTATTTAGGGTTATACGCGCGAATAGACTTAGTAACTAACTATAATTTTTGTTCTTGCTCCTCCGCGCTTCATGCCAGTCTTTTTTCTTCTACAATTCTTACGTACGTATGTATTTCGCATAATGTTGTAGCCCCCCCCCCCCCCCCCCGTAGGAAACTCGTTTGTTCCTTGGTCTACTTTTGTTTGTTTTTTTTTTTCGTTTTTACGATCGTTCGAGCAGAGTACGACGCTCGCGACGTACGAGACAACCATGGAGTTTTCAAGTGCCTAATTAGCGTTATATCGTCGATCGCAGGGGCATGCAAAAGTAAATCGCGAATTGCATTCCGTAGAATAAAGTGATAAACTTTTCGATTAATGTAATTATAACGACCCAGCCGATCGCTGGGAAAACGAGTGATAGTTGATTGATAACGCCAATATATTTCTGCTACAATTGATATACCGTTTCTTTACTCGTTGATACTCGTAGTTACTGTTTTCTAAAGAATATATATATATACATATATATGTGTGCGTGTGTGCGTGTGCGTGCGTGTGTGTAGAGCGTTAACGAATAAATTCGTCAAGGTCGGAGAAACCGTAGGCAGTACAGAGTGTACGAGTTCACAAATTACTATCGCATTGTTCGCCTTAATCATGCTTTGGACTGATAAATACTGCCCCCGATATATAACTATATATATATATATATATCTATTTTCGTACGAATGTTTCTTTATGAAATTGAACAAATAAACGTCAGCGAGTAATCCATCGACGGGTCTTTGTCTCTCGAAACCTCGCCATCCCAATGGTATTCGCGTTTAACCCTCTATTTACCGAACTTTCTCGAAAGGTTTTCAAATCTGGGCGGCCATCTTGGTCTCGTAACGTCTTATACAGGGTGTCCCAAAAATGGTGGAGGTCATTAAAAGAGATGGTTCAGGAGGTGATTTAAAACAACTCTTTCCTTAGCGAAAATGTTGTCCGAGGCTTCGCTAAAGAAATATTGACGGAAAAAGTCGACTAATCAGAACGCGCGGATACTGTTGGAACGCTCTGATTGGTCGGGGTTTTCTGTTAATATCTCTTCAACGAAGCCTCGGACAACATTTTCGCTAAGGAAAAAGTTGTTTCAAATCACCTCTCGAACCAACCACCCCTTTCAAGGTGTTACATCGTTTTTGGGACACCTTGTATATACAGAGTAGAGATGATTTGAAACAACTTTTTCCTTAGCGAAAATGTTGTCCGAGGCTTCGTTGAGGAGATATTAACGGAAAACACTGACCAATCAGAGCGCGAGGATGCCAGTGGAGCGGCCGCAGTAGGCGTGGCTACGCGCTAGGTGGCCGCGCTCATACGCTGCCGCGGGCGCTCCCCCGGCGTCCTCGCGCTCTGATTAGTCAGTGTTTTCCGTTAATATCTTCTCAACGAAGCCTCGGACAACATTTTCGCTAAGGAAAAAGTTGTTTCAAATCACCTCCCGAACCACCCCTTTCAAGGTGTTACAACATTTTTGGGACACCCTGTAGAGTCGTCTGCTAACAAGCTTCCAAATTTTGGACCAAAAGGATAAAGTTTGTGCTGCCATCCGACAATTCGAAAGTCACCATGGGAAAATTGACGGTAAATAAACGGTTAAACTAACTCCTAACCAAACTGTTAATGACCCTGCACGATACCGAACGAGGAGATTTATTAAATTGCATAACAACCGAATGCCCGCGAGGGTTCCTCACACGTGTGCACCAATTAGGGATTAACGATCAGTAAAACGAACCTCGTTCGAGCATTCGAGGTCCAACCAATCTCGGATCCCTCTGTTTTGTTGCATTGGGGGACACGGGGAATCATTATTCTCATTAGTAACTTAACCCCCGCAATTTATCCGTAACGTTAACATGACGCGAAATCAAACTATTACACGGGTTGCGTAATATGGAACGACCGACTAGCCACTAACTACTTTTCCGTGGTCTGTAGATATACGGCCACTGTAATAAGTAGATTTTTATGCCTTTATAGGGAATTCGAATGTGCAAGAAACTACAAAATCTACGCAGTATGCGAGAATATAAAAAAATATCAAGAGCAAAGTTCATTTTATAATATCTGCAGAGTAAAATAAATTCCTGTTTAGGTTCAATTTTTGTGTCTAGTAATCAGTATTCGTACAGGAGCCAATTCATAATAAGACTTCGTACATTTATTTTATTAATGAATTTTAGGGGAAGAAATAATTTACCAATATTCCTACATATTTTCAGGGTAGATTTTGCTTAAATTAAAGTCTGTTACTTTCAATACTAACCTCTTATTTCTATTCTTATTAGTTTTATTTTAATTCTTAATAATCTTTTTTATATTCCTACATATTGTTTACATTTTGTACGTCTTGCACATTCAAACTTCCTATAA